TTCTGGTTCTTTAAGGCTGAAGAAGGCAGAAAAGCTGGATGGAGCAGATAGCATTATGTTTTCCAGTGTTGGTAAATTGGTACTGACACCAGCTGGAATGTAGCTTATTTCTGTTTCAAGGGGATGGTAAAGAAACACATGGAAGGGTTACCCTGGAAGGGGAATTAGCATCAGAATTATTTTGCAAGGCATGTGCTCAAATGGCTCACTTGTGAATGTTATCAATGGCTTACATTTTTTTGCATGTTAGTCCATTTAGCAAGCAGCGTTCCAGGAACATGACCTGGAGGCATCTTTTGAAAAGCTGCTATTGGCGGTAAAGCATTTCTTTTTAAAGCACTTCTTCCCCTACCACTTTCTGTGACACCAAAGGGGTTTTTAGGGGGGTTTCTTAATAGATTTCGTTGCTGTTTTGTTTTGTTTTGTTTTGTTCGTTTTCTTCACTTCCCAGTTTCTCTGGTGGACTGTTTTCATGTGCATGGTTTAAATCTGAGGCACAGAAAACCTGGTCTGGCAGTGATTGCAGCCTTTGGAAAGGCTTCTCAGGGGCCAAGTCTCAGAGGCTCTGGGCCATGCACAGGGTCTGGAGTGGGGTCTGGGCATGTCTGAGTTTACATATCGTTGTTTGAGATGTTCATTTGGCTCACAAACCCACGTGTGTGTGTTTATGTGTACTCACTCTAAAAATGAAAACTTGTTTTCATACACGTTAGATCTCAGATGAAAACCACTCTTCCTTGGGCTATGGTAAGGGTTTAATCCCTTCCTTTTTTCAGTTTTGCAGCATTTCTTTTCCTCATATTGGACCTTTTCGTTGCTTTAAGCTCCCATTTTTGTTTTGTTGGTTTTTTGCTTTTCTTTTCCCCTGCCTTTATTTATATCACAGGGTGAGGGAGAATATTGACATTAAAAGAGGATTAAAATGAGAGAGGCTTGGGCAAACACCTGGAAAACCTTTCTTCTTCGACCACACCATGCTAAGGTTGAAAAGCAACCTGTGAGTTTATGGCTTGTCTGATCCCTCAGTTGGGTTGTTTTGTTTCAGGCTGGCTTTGAGAAGCCAAGAACTGCTTTTTAAATGGGTTTTAAACCAGTTATTTTCAATCCCCCCCCCCCCCCCTTCCCCTGCAAGCCATGAGGAGCAGGAAGGATGCTACCCTGATGGGAGCATCTCTGGGTGCCCTTTGTCACTGGTGGGGTGCAGCTGCCCACTTTCTCCTCTGCAGACAACAGCTCCTGGCTCGCCAAAGTCTATGGCCGTGAGGTGGTTTTGTCCTCGGGAGACTGTAATGCCTTTAGTTGTCTTGGATACGTGACATCATATAGTGTTGTAATCAAATATAGGCCTTTCACAGGGCTGGGAAAGGTGGGGGTTCAGCTGACCTCCAGCCGCTGCTGTGGGGTGGGCAGGGGATGGAGCAAGGCGGCCCAAGACAAAGGAGATGAGGGAGGGAGGGAAGGTTAAATTAATGGTGGGAAAAATGGCCTGGTGTCATGCTTTAATGCTCTTGGTGAAGCAGATGTGGTGCTTTGTATCAATGGGGTTTCCCTAGTCACGCAGAGATGTCCTTTTTTTGCTGCTCTTCCCTTTTAACATGCACAAACTTGTGGCTGGTCCCATGCTGTGTGCCTGCTGGCTTGGAAGTTTATCCCAAACTTGTGTAGGTGAGCAGTGACAGTCATTTATTCGTGCAGTTCTTGTGCTGTTTTAACAGCACAATACATTCAGTGATGTATTTAAGTCAGGACAAACCTGGTGTTGATACGTGCCATAGGCGCAGGGGAATATGGACATCTATAGAAGAGTTTGCTCCTGGTATAGTTACTTGTGTGCAAAAAGCATGTACCCATCGTTTTAAATACTCTCACAGTGCCTGTTTATGTTAGTACCAAAGCTGTGTGTGGAGTTCACAAATGCCCCAGCCCTATAACTAAGGCTGCACGCCCCGAGCTTGGTGCAGAGAGGGTGGTTGCAGAGCTGCTCTCCCAACAGAATTGTGATATGGCTAAAAATCTCTTATCCTGACTTAAAACCATATTCTACTCCTCAGACTGGGACAATGCACAGAAATATGTTGTTTTCTTTGTTTTCTTTTTAATTTTAAATCTGGGGTGAAATCACTGCATTGTTAGCAGTGCTAGCAGAGGCGACTTTTTTGCTTGGCTGGTCCTACAGAAATAAATAGGTATGTTTAGTTGTGGAGAAGGTTGCCCTTATCTGGGGCACTGATGTTGTGCAGATGCCAAACAGCACCTTTCATCTGATGCCACTGGACAGTGAGGAAGGGCCAAGCATGGTTCTCTTCCAGGGATGGGGTTGGCTGAAGATTTGCAAAGGGATAGTTCATACAAAATGAGCCAAGTGCTAAAATACAGGGAGACCTTATAGCAGTCTTCCCGTGCCTAAAGGGGCTACAAGAAATCTGGAGAGTGACTTTTGACAAGGGCCTGTAGTGATAGGACAAGGGGGAACGGCTTTAAACCAAGAGGGGAGATTTAGATGAGACGTTAGGAAGAAATTCTTCCCTGTGAGGGTGGTGAGGCACTGGCACAGGGTGCCCAGAGAAGCTGTGGCTGCCCCATCCCTGGCAGTGTTCAAGGCCAGGTTGGATGGGGCTTGGAGCAACCTGACCCAGTGGAAGGTGTCCCTGCCTGTGGCAGGGGGTTGGAACTGGATGAGCTTTAAGGTCCCTTCCAACCCAAACCAGTCTGGGATTCTATGGCTGAGAAGTGTGAGTTAGTATGTAGCTGGCTAAAGAGGCACTGAAGAAGAAGGTGAGGTTAATCATTATGACGAAAATGGTGCAGCTCACATTGCAGCAGGATTGGGGTTTGTCTCCTTTTAGGAATTTTGCCTCTTTGGTTTGTTTGGGTTTTCTTGTTTCTTAATTTAAGAAAGGAATGAAGAAGTGACATAAGCCTATGGATATATTGCTGTGTTTGAAGCCAGCCACCACTGAGTGCCAATATAAATCTGCTCTGACGGCTTGGGGGAATAATAAATTGTCGGGAGAGCAAAGCTATTTTTGACGGGCTGTTTGAGCAGTTGGCTTTGCTTTAATCTTTTTATTTTTGTTCATTTTTAATGACTGGATTGGTTGGTAATCACACCCATCCCTGCCTTAAACAGACAATCTGGGGACGGTTTCCAGCACTAGTACTGGTAAGCATAGGTGCGGGTTTTCCTGTCAAAACGGCTTTGCAATAGCTGGTGCAAAAGCATACAAGCAGATGAAGAGAGGAGAAGAAACTGCTGATGGGAAAGCCAGTGTATTTTCTGGGGAGGCACAAATTCTGCCTCCAACACTCGCCGGGCACCAGGAGGGGCTGGCAGGGCTCTGGTTCTTCTTGGGGAGCATAAAGATAGCTGTTGCCTTCCAATGTCACCGTGTCACTGCTCCATCACACATATCATTCCCCTCTTCCCAAGCAAGAAGGCTAGGCAAACACATCTCCAGGCAGGCTGGGCAGTATAACTGCATGTAATTCTTTGTTTGCTTGGGGGTTTTGGAGGCTTTTGTACAGTTAATACGAGTCTCAGCTTTACTGGTAAACCACATGCATAGTTGGGAGTGTCTTATGTTTAGAGCAGGTTGGTATAGCCTCTGTAATATGTGTCTTTGTGTATATATGTACAGTTGAGTGGTTTTGGTGGTCTGTACTTCTGGTACAGCTGTGTTGGCCCAAGCTGTAGGTGCAGTCAAGCTGTGACATGGTCACATCAGCAGGAGAAAAACAGCTGTTGCCATCACATAGTTTGCTAGATGGCTGCTTTTAAAGCTCTACAAGCAAGAAGACGTTCATTGTTAGTGTTAATGCCTCTAAAGCATGGGCGGCCTCTTCTGAGTGGCTTTTTTATTGGTGATAATTTTAGAATTCGGTGAGTTTTTTGGGTTTTGGTTGGTTTGGGTTTTCCCATCTAGGGAAAAATCCAAAGCAAGTGCTCAGCCATTATTTCTGCGACAGGCCTGAGCTGCCACCCCAGTGGATGGTCACTTCCTCTTGAGTGCTGGTCTCACCACTCTGCTTTGCAGGAGAGCCTGGGACAGAGCAGCCAACCCTTGCAGCAAGAGAAAAAGGTGGTCTTTTGAACCTGGGTAGCTCCATAAGACCCAACTGACCAACTGATAGGCTGGTCAGATCTTTCCCTGGTGGAAAGGGGAGGCAAAACTTGGAAGTGATTGTGACTTACACGGGGCTGTGAAGACTTCATTCACACTGAGTGAACAAATTCACTTTATGCTGATTTAAGTTTTGCAACTTGTTTTTCACTTGTTGGGCACCAAAGGCAAACGCTTCTTCATAGGTCAATTTACAATATAATGAGTGGAACAAAAGAGTTCATGTGAGAGCTGAATGGATCAGATCCTACCTGTTAAGGTCTTTTTCAGATTTCAGATGCTGACATCAAAATAGCTGTTATTTCTGTGTCGAGATTGGTGTTTCAAGATAGATACAGACGTTTCCCAATGCTTACCTTAAGTTCTGGTTATAAACCAAGGGGTGTTAACCCATGCTCATGAGATTATTGCCACGCTTTTGTTGGACCCTGGCTCTCATCAGTGACTACAATATTCTTGCACAGCTGGGGATGTAGAGGGACTTTTTGCTGGAGAGGGACTTTTGACAAGGGCCTGTAGGGACAGGACAAGGGGGAATGGCTTTAAAATGACAGAGGGGAGACTGAGATGAGACATTAGGAAGAAATTCTTCCCTCTGAGGGTGCTGAGGCCCTGGCACAGGGTGCCCAGAGAAGCTGTGGCTGCCCCATCCCTGGCAGTGTTCAAGGCCAGGTTGGACACAGGGGCTTGGAGCAGCCTGGTCTAGTGGAAGGTGTCCCTGCCCATGGCAGGGGGTTGGAACTGGATGAGCTTTAAGGTCCCTTCCAACCCAAACTCTCTGTGATTCTATGCTACAGCCCTGCATTTGGGTTTGGTGGGCTTCCACTGAACGTGGTTTTGAAGGTTTGCGTTGATTTCTGACCATCTCTTTTGTTGCAGACCAATAAAGCTAAATGGGTCCAGTCACTGGAATGACTCCGGATAAGAAAGCTGAAACACCCGGAGCAGAAAGAGCTGCAGGACTACGGCAGTGTCATGGCATGGGAAGCTTGCCTGATGCAGGCGATGCCGGCAGGCCAAAGGCCACCGTGGTGGACAGAGATTCAGCAGACGACGAGCTCACAAACTTGAACTGGCTGCATGAAAGTACTAACCTGCTAACAAACTTCAGCCTCGGGAGCGAGGGTCTTCCGATCGTTAGTCCTTTATATGACATTGAGGGTGACAGCGTGCCATCCTTCTCACCGTCCTGCTACCAGAACCCTGAAAAGAAATCCTCCACTTCCAAACCCCCCTACTCTTTCAGCCTTCTCATTTACATGGCGATCGAGCATTCTCCCAACAAGAGCTTGCCAGTCAAAGAGATCTACAGCTGGATCCTGGAGCGCTTCCCCTACTTCGCCACGGCACCCACCGGCTGGAAGAACTCGGTCCGACACAACCTCTCCTTGAACAAGTGTTTCCGAAAGGTGGAGAGAGGCCATGGCAAGGTGAGACCTGACGGGAGGGAGGTGGGGCAGGTCTGAAATTCAGGGGGAATGGAGAAGACTCTGTTCTTGAGGACTTTCGGTTTGGTTTGATTTGGTTTTTCCCCCCCTTCCACGTCCTGTAACGCTTTATTTGCAGCTGAAGATGGTTTGGAAATGCCACTCTGACAAATCACAGGATGACAGAAGTCACTTGGGTTTTGTATTTAGTGCTGGCCTAGGTAGAGCTAGAAGTGGTCTGGCTAACATGCTATTGCAAAGGACCTTGTTTTCACTTATGATTTTGTTAGCTTGCAATACCCTGCCTTAAATTTCAGGCATCTTGGGATGTCTTTTTGCTGAAGCTTCTTAAACTGGTGCTCTATTTTCCAAGGCTTAAGTATCAGTGTGTGTTCCTCCTTCCATGCTTTTCCAGCATGGCCGTGGCTACAATTGCACTGGCGAGCAGAAGAGATTGTGGGATGCCAAGCAGGGAAGCATTGGTGATGCCCATTTGGGTGCATATGTGGCCTTCAGCAAGGCACCCTTGCTTGCAGGCACACTGTATGAACGTGGCTGAGTGTTCCTCAATGTAACGGCTGCCTTGAATGTTAAACTCTTTCATTTGTGATCTTCCTTTACACTTACCACAATAACAGTCTTAATTCTTGCATCTAATGTACTGTATTGCTTTAACCTCTGTCATAACACAACAGTGTGTGTCTCTGCGTGGTGCAGACACAAGCTTCACTCCTTAAATTCAAGGATACCCTTCCCTGTACAAGTTCTTTCTTCTCCTGACCATTACAGTTTTACTGGTGACTTCCTTTTCCCTCTGTCATTTCCCATCCCATTTCTCAAAGAGCTGGCTCTGACTTGAATAAACCAACAAACCACATACCAGAAGTCAACAAACAAATCCCGGACGCGTCTGCTCGGAGGTCAGCCTGAGTGGTGGCAGCCTTGTTATCAGAAGTGTGTGCAATGCCTGGCGTGCTTGACAGCCTCTCACTGTAGATAGAGGTCCTGGAGCTGAGTGGCCATGGGGGAGGATTGCCTTGTACTGGTAGGACTGGATGCCCCATTCTTGGCAGTCTTCAAGGCCAGGTTGGATGGGACTTGGAGCAACCTGGTCTAGTGGAAGATGTCCCTGCCCATGGCAGGGGGTTGGAATTGAGAGAGCTTTAAGGTTCCTTCCAAAGCATCTATGATTCTATGATTTTCAGTATCCCTGCTCCTACATTAAATTGTTAGGGTGTTGTTTTCCCAAGCAGCAGCTTTGCTTGGGAAAAAGGACTTTCTGCTGCTGTATGGCAAGTTCACTGACTCTCCCATAGCCAAATCCTGCTGCATGTTAGGATGGGCTTTTAATGTGGCCACAGGTGCTGTAATGGAGTAGCTGCAGACTGTGCATGTGTGAAGGACGTGGATCTGAGCAGCCAACACAGGTGGCAAAAGTGCCATTAAAGGTCTGTGTGGCTCCATCCAGGAAGGGAGACAAGAGTTTCAGAAGAATTAAGGAAAGCAAGGAAAATCTCCTTTATTGGTGTATGTTCCTGCTGTCTGTGAACCTGCCATTTAAAGCTCAGCTCTTTCCAGCCTAGAAACACTCAAGGTTTAGGAGTTACCATCAAAACCTCATGTCTTGGCGGGTGATTGGAGGAGCTTGAGACTGCCAGGTCCTCTGCTCACCCTCACCAGTATTGCTGGGCTCTGAGGATGGCTTGCTGCTGGATACAACATCTCTAGTAGGAAAACCACAATGCAGAATAGCTACCATCACTACCAGTAAGGTGATGCTGATGTGCTCTGTCAGCATTTTCCCAGGGCTCCAGACACTCTGCAGCTCTCTAATTCTTAAGAACAGAAACTGCATTCACCAAAAACACCCACCGCAGAAAGCCTCTCCTGAAAGCTTGCTGAAGCTTCCCCATTTCCAGCAAACAGTGGTTAAGTCTTGATCCTCTGCCCTGCTTTAGAAAGGACCAGATGAGAGTACTGCTCCAAATTCTTCCTGCAAAACAAGTCTTTGGGGCACAGCAATACATGTAGACTCCATGGGAGATGATGGGAACGCTCAGACCCGCCTCAGTTGTCACCTTGGAGCAAGCAGCGGTAGCGTCCAAGCTCGTTTTGCAGGTGGTGTTGCCTGGCACGTGTGCTAGCCATGGTTACAGCCATGCCTCCGGGTGCTTTGCTCAGAGGGCAGGATAATTTTGTATTTTATTCCATTTTTTTCTTTGTTAATGGCATCTTAATTGTGTCCCAAAGGGAGTGCGAGTCAGCTTCTATCCCAAGCGCCTGGGTAAGCAGGGAGGCTCATGGCATGTTGCGTCAGAGGAGCATGGCTTATTTTGGGTGAGAAGGGCTTTAAAGCCTTTCAAACAAATCTGGGCTCTCATATTCCTAGACTGTGTCTGACAGGAGGGGAGGGTCTGTCCCCCACATCCCAGGGCAGGCTGAGGATGCTTTCTGATGCCTCCATGGGTATTGTTGCTAGCCATTGGCTATGAAATCCTTTTGCCCAGAGAGGGGCTGGATGCGCCATTCCTGGAGACATTCAGGGCCAGACTGGATGTGGTTCTGGGCAGCCTAGTCCAGTGCACTCTCCCATATGAGACAGCACTGCAGTCAAGAGGAAGAACTTCTCATGTTTTGGAAACAGGATGTACGTATGTCACATCTCTGCTAAAATATGCACTGCCCTTTCTGTAAGCACGTGTTGTGATGCTGCTGTACCTAAGTGGTTTGTCAAAGTTTACCCTAGTTGATAGAGCTGAAATACCCTTTCTTACTAAAGTTACAGTTGAGCTCATGCCTGCAGTCATCCCAACAGGAGATTTCCAGTGATTCTCTGGTACTGGTGGCTGGGAGCTGGAGTTGATGAACAGCAAGGGGATGATGCTGGAGCCAGTGCCTGGGACACCTGCTTGCCTTCCAGTATACCTGCTGTGGCCTTGGTGCCCCTGAAGACGTGGAGCTGTGATTACGGGCTCAATTTGATGTGATTGTGATTCTGAGCAATCCTCAGAAGATACAGCTAATGCATCTGAAGCACTGTCACGTAACCTTGGGATTGGGGGGAGAGAGGTCTGCAGGGGGACATTGCTCTTTTTGAAGGAGCAGTGTCTGATACGCAGATTTGAAGTGAAAAGTGGTTTGGAGTAGGAAGCCCTGAGGAGCCTCCCTGCTCTTTGCTAGATTTGATTTTACAGTTGTGGGTTTGGGGATTTTTTTACTAATCAGTACCACTGGGGAGAAAAGGTGTTAGGAGGCAGGAGCAGCATCCGCGTCAAGCATCAATTTGGCATGCTGCTGCTCATATGGATGTGGCCCTGCTACTGTTTCCTCCAGGAGGTTGGGGGAGACAGGGCTTGAGTATCTTCAACAGATCTCCCTTTCTTTTTCTTGGTAGGTATGTCCTTTTTTTTGACAAGACATGGTGCTAGACAACCTGTGTGGCTGTTCAGGTATTCAGGCAATGAGCAGGTCCCATCCATAAGCCTGTAGAGATAGGAGAACAGTGTCTGTGATCTGACAAACCTCTTGGTGGGTGTACGACAGACCTCCATGCGGACACACAGTATTTTCCAGTACCCAGCTCAACAGCCCATACCTGATGGAACCACAACCACTGTGCAGGGCTGAAGCTGGGTGCTTCAACAGCTGCCCCGCTGTTGATGTGAAATGGTAACCTCCACCGGCAGTTTAGCATTTTAGGTCATAGTAGACTTGGTCTTTGGTAGGAGAAATGGCAGTCTGTTTTGTTGCTGTGGTTAGACCTCTGGGCTCTTTTCAAGCTGGATGTATCTGTGTTCTATGGGGTTTTCAGCTCCAGCTGTGCATGGCTTTCCCCTGAAGTGTGACACTAGCAAGACCTGTCATGGATTGCCACTGTGCAGCTTTGCTAAGGCAGCCAATGTGAGTGAGACGATGCATACAAGCAGCCCCATGGGCATCACCACCTCTTTTGTTTAACGTCTGCTTTTAGTGCAAATAATGGTGGGTGAAAGTGTGATTTCACATTATGCTTAACCCAATATAACTTCCCAAAGGAGTATACTTAACCCAGTCTGACTACTCAAAGAAGACGTCACCCTGTTTATTGCCTCTTGCACTGGACTGAGTGTCTGTCTGGCTTCAGCTCGCTGTTGCAATACCCACCCAAAATCCTTGTGTTGTGTTGTCAGGGCAGCAAACTGGTGGGAATACCTGGCTGGGAAGACGAAAGAGGGAAACTAACTCCATTCTGGCTGCAGGCCCAGCTGAACAGCATTAGGTGTCAAGTGGAAGTGCTTGCCTGAACTGGCAGATAAAACCTGTGGTAGCTTCAAAGCTACCAAAGGGAGAAAAATAGCAACCCCCAGCATTAGGGGTTGGGTTGCTGGGGAAAGAGATAAAGGATGTTAGTCTGTCATTGAGATGATGGATGGAGCCGTCTGGGAGGATACCCCCTGTTAGTACCTAGCTGGCTAAATCATCCTGCCAGCCATCATGGCTGTTTAATTAAAGGTAAGCTTCTTGATAGGTATCTTGCGGGCTGTGTTCAGTTTTAGCATGAAAAGATGGGTATTAAGAAAGATTCAGGTTAAAAAAATCAATAACGGAGAGATGCTGCAGCTCAGAGATCTTTATGAAAGGCAGTAGCTTCAACCAAAATTGTCTCTTGCTCAGCTGGAGCCCTCCCTGGTTTGATTTTTCACTATGTATAGCAAAATATTTCCTCTTTTCAGTAAAAGCCCTGTGACTTAACAGGACTGTGGATTTATGTGCTGTGTGGGTCCTTTTTAGTCTTGTTTCACTGACCATCCATAAAATGGTGCTTAACTATTGGCATACCAAACTTAATAGCAAGAATAACTAGCACAGTGGTGCTTGCATTGTTAGGTGCATCAAAATACGTTCATTGGGTTTTTAGCCAGGCGTTTGGCAACGTGCTTTTACAGGATTGTGTAAAGTTAAATGAGTATGTGTACTTATGTAAGTAAAGGGAAGGGTGCTTTGGTTCCTTAGAAACCTCTTAATTGGAAGACTGCTGATCAATTCACTGGTGCCTGGACAGATCCTTAAACTCACGGCTGTATTTACCAAGCGTTAAAACAAGGTTTACAGCTTTCAGTGGACAAACATGAAAGGGAATGGAGCTTTGGAGCTGCTATCCCAAGCTGCAAGATGGGTGCTTCCATACCATATAATGAGGGTCTTGGGACCACACACTCACACAGGGAGTGTCCCCTTCCCACGCAGGCAATGGAGCTGCCTGAGGATGATGCACATCATCTGTACGGTGCTGGATGCCAACATCATTGCCTCTTGGGAATGTCACATTAGAAATGACTGTAACAGCCTGGCCCCTGGCTCTTCTAATTTGCAGTATTTCTTTCTTGCAGGTGAATGGAAAAGGGTCATTATGGTGCGTTGACCCGGAATATAAACCTAATCTTGTCCAAGCCCTGAAAAAGCAGCCTTTTCCCTCAGCGCTTGCATTTTACACGCCGCCAGCATCACCCCCAAGGTAGGTGAATTTTCTCATCTGAGTAAGGTGTGTGGTGGTTATGATAGAGAGGAAATGCCCATGGAGATGTTGATGTGGTGTTACAGGCTGCCACCCAAGAGAAGGATTTGAGTGGGGCTTAGGTGAGACTGGCTAGAAGAGCTGAGGAGATGTAACGAGCTCAGGCTTCCCAGGTAGCAGATCTGGGGTTCGTGTCCAAGTCACCTTCATAACTGTGGGAGAGTTTAAGAGAAGGAGGTCAGGGCTGTGGTGGGTGCTTACTGGTGATCCCGTGTGTCTGGAGGGCAGGCTGTGGCAGGAACTGGAGCAAAATCCTCCTTCAAACATAGTTCACCAGGACTGATGTAGGGTGCCTGGTGCTGCTAGCTTAGAAGGAAGTGTGGGTCTTTCTCCTTTAAGTCACTCACCTGGATATAAAATGTATATGTTAGATACTGTCGTAGAAAACAACTTTTCCACAATCTGAAGTGCTTAGAGAGGTTGGTCTGTGAAAGGTGTGTTTTTCTTGGAGGCTGTTAAAAGCATTTTGCAGCAGGGATGGGAAGAACAGCCTTTACCATAAACACGCTCGGAAGTGGAGCCTGCGAGACTTCCTCACCCAGCACATGTTAAGATTAGGCAATAGGTTCTGGAGAATTTGAAGTGAACATCCTCAGTAGAGGAAGAAGAACTGCAGCTAGGTTAGCCTATGGGGTGAGACAGAGAGGAAGAGGAGAAGGACAGAAAGCAGAGAGGAATGCATTGCTGATGGTGAGCTCAGTTCTTAGGTAGGCATGTGGCCAGTTTATCTAGTTTAGCAAAGAATTTGGGTGAGATAAGAGATAATTACGGTCTCTGAACATCGCCCTGTGCCTTAACCTTATTGCGAGGAGTTTCCTTAACAAACAGGAGGACCTAGGATTACAGGAGCAGGATGTAAAACTGATAACGTTGAGCAGAGATTTATAAGGGTCCAACAGGTCACTGACCCCGGGAGCTGGCACCCCAGTGCAACCCTTATCTGTCTGGCAGTAGCTGAAGATTTGTGTGGCATGGGCTTTTTCCAGTTGGGCTTGTAACCTACAAGATGAAACAGTGGTCTCTGACCTTCCAGCCATCTTGAGCTGTAAAAGGGTCATGTTGGGTTTGAAAGAGCCAAGCAGGAGTATCCTGTTTTCAGTGGGAATGAGAGCATTACTAAAATAACCCTGAAGCACTTAAGCATTAAGAAATAGTAAAATTGGAAAGTAAGAGATGGCTGGTGGTGTTGTAAGGCTTTTTATGGGAACAAAGATTATTGAAGCTACTGTAATTGAACTCCTATAATGATGATAATGCTTTTACAGGCTTTAATGTTTCTCTGTAAGGGCATGAACTTCTGGTTTTTGGTACAACTTGAGTGAAGGTTTTGGTCCTTGAAAGCTTTGTTAACACCGTGTCCATGTTAACATGGTAAAACTTCCAGATTTAAAGAATAATACAGATGGGAAAGGACCTCTGGAATGCTGTCTGTCCAGACAGAGGAGCAGAGGATCAGGACAGACAGCCTACTGCAGGGCAGGTCATTCAGAGCCTCAACCTCTCCAAGATTAGTCCAATGATACAAGCACTGAAGTTAAGATTTACCTTGCTTGTAGGAAAGCAACATACTGAAATTAGGTGTAGGGGAGGAGAGATGTTACCCAAATGCTGAAGTACTTGGAAGATCAGGACTTCAATCTAAGCTGTTGTTTCCGGTACCACTTTTTTTCCTTCACTGAAGGACTAGTCCCACTTGCCAGCTATCACAATTACAAGGAAATCCTGGTCCTAATGAAGCCACATGGCAACATTCCCACTGCAGTGCTTTTATTTACAAGGACAACAAAGTAAGATACTAAACTTCTCCCTAATGAAAGCTGGTTTATTTGCCTTTAATAATAATAATACAACCATTTGTAAGACTTTCAGGAAAACAGATTTATCTTTTTCCCTTCCATGTGCAAAAATCCTTGGACTAATTTTTTTTTGGGCGGGGGGGGAGGGCCTCAAGAGGCCGACTTGTGTGTGAAAAGAGAAAGAGGAAGGCCAGAGTTGCAGCTGGAGAGAGGCTGGAAGGACTGTCCAAATTCATCTACAGGCTGATGCTCGAATTCGACTGTGTCTTGTTGTGGGAGGGCTCTGTGTAGTGTTCATAATTACAGTGTGCTGGGGGGCTATGCCTGTCATTCAGTGGGATTCTAGGGTAAAATGAAAGGTGTTACTTTGAGTAGAAGCTTTCCAAAACTGGAATCTGTGTCTAGTTACACTGAAATGTGTATGATCATAGGTGACTGGCTTCACTGATGTGTTTTATTTCCACACAGCTCGTTCAACAAGTCCATGCAAGGCCCCTGTGTTCTAATACCACTGTATTATATCCTTTGGCTCTGGGGACAGGCAGGGTCCTCATCTTCCTAATACCTTATGCATATGCATAGCTTGCGTTAATACTAAGCATTAATTTTCTCTAAGAAAGCTCTGTGTGGATATAATTCTTGGAGGATCTGAGGTCAGAAAAAGGGATGAAGATGTTTAGCATCTCTTTGTACAATCTACCTGCAGGTGGCAAAGCCAGCCACGGTGGGGTGTGCCCATTGCTTTCCTTGTGGCTTTTGTTTTTTTATTATTATTATTTTAATTTTTTCCCCATTTTTGGATCTGTTCCCTTTGCACTCCTTCAAGAAAACACAAGTTTTGCACATATTCACATTCAGCTGCCCTTTTTCCCTTTGGTTGCCACACTGGGAGATGCTTAAATGTGACTCTCCTTTTCAGTAGCTTTAGTTACCAGTGCCAGGCAGGCTGCTGTGCTGCCAGGGCTCCTTCCATAGCTCAGATGATGTATTCCAAGCCACCTTGCTTCATTTCTTTTCCTCCTGCACTTATGCCAACCTTTGGAGCTGTTACCATTGGCCAGCTGAGTTTGGATAACATGATGGCAAGTTGGGCATCCCTCATTTACAGCTGTGTGGAGTAGCTGATCTCAGGGCTGTTGAGATGCGTGCAGCCACAGCAGCAGCCAGCAACCGGTGAAAAATATTTTATTCAAAATTCAACTTAAAGAATGAAGATTTTAGTTAAATAAATGTATTTTAGAAAAATGAAGTCGCCGTTTTGGGGTTTTAATTAATGATCTAGAGAAGTTAAAAGAAATATGAAGCATTTAGCAACTTTGTGATTTTTTGGGGGGTGGAGATTTGTGGCTGTGCCTTATTTTGGAAAATAGAGCTGCCTAAATATGATAAATATGAAAGGTGAACACGCCTTAATGATAGAAATCACCCCATTAATCCTGTGAGGTTGCTGTTACAGGTTGGGCTTGAAAATTCTGCCCATTACCCTTTGAATTCTTCCAGCAATGCTGTAAAAGATGCACATTGCTGTGTTTCACACAGCGTTAAGAGTTGTGTACTATTCCTGTTGTATTCGTTTCTAAACGTTTGCTACTGTATTTATAATGAACTGAATAATTAGGACTGGGTGTGCAGCAGAAAGCCATGTGAAAGTTTTAACTTGACCTTTATGCTGTAAGGTATTAAGTGGTACTTTGCCAGGCAAAGTAAGATCTCCTAAGACAACAAAGCAGACAGCATCACCAAAGCAGCCCAGGTTCAGCTCACTTAAAACTGAGCAGATATCTTGGTTTGAAGGGGTTTTTTTTTTGGCTCTTCCCCAGCTTTTGGCATGACACTACCTTTTGTTCTTGTTAATCTCCCACTACCATTTCAAAGAGCAGGTGGACACAACTGGTCCTTAACTATCCTGTTGCTCCTGGGCTCTAAGCATCGCTGCATAAGCTAATGTCTTGTTCACATGGAGGTTTTACTTAGTAAAAATCACTGTTTAAAATCCAGTCTTTAAGCAGGTACATAAACTCTGCTGAAGTTAGTATCTCTTGCCCACCAGGCTTTTGTTTAGTGTGTGTGGTTGGAGGTGTTTTGCAAATGCTGCTGATGGCTTACAGTGCTCCGTAAACCATCAACCAATGTGTCAGACCATCTACTAAGGGCAATAGCAATTGCTTGCCCACCAAACTGTGGTGATTGGGTTGGTTTTGTGTTTACCTCTCTATGATCATATTATTGTGACTACTGTACGTTGTAGAAATCATTTGGCTAATCAGGGCTCGCCTTTGACCTGTTGCATTTCTCTTCAGTAGGTCAGTGTCCCCTCACTACCTAACTTCAGTCCTTCAGCAGAATCACGGCCGATCTCTCAAAGGTAAACGTTTCATTTTCATTTGCTTTGCTCCCCTGGCTTTAGTCACAAGTGTGTGCTGAAGCCCAGCTTATGGACCTGCTCCGAAGGGTCTGCTAGATTATGATGTAGTAGAATGCATCCTTCTTAGCCACCTGTATGTTCAGTTGAAATCCCTCAGATGAATTTAACATGTAGTAGGAGCTGTCTTGCTCTGCCAGCAAGGTATTTAGCAGGCCCATCACTCCCAAATACGACCTGCTTAAAGAATGAATATTTCAGTAGAAAACAAATCTGAAAGCTGCACATCTTTACATTAGTTCTATTGGGTACCAAGAACAAAAAGCAGCCACTTTTAATGTATGTAACTGGTGGGACGTGGCCACAGAAAAGTCCCTTAAAATTGTTTGTTTGATATAAGTGGGTGGGAGAGCATGATGGGAATAATGAGTATCCTTCAGATGAGTATTTCATAGCTGTGTGGTCCTTTTCACTCCCTTGCCAAGAAGATGGGTACAAGCTAGTGTCATTGCCAGTGCAATTAAGCAGGAAGACCTGAGTTCTGGATATTAACCCGGAGAATAGAATAGCCTCATGTTGTCTGTTTAGTTGAAGGTGTCACCTTAAAAATTGTAAAATGTTCATTTTAACTCTTGGGAGAGAAGAATAGGATGGGTTTAACATATATATACTCCAAATGCAGGTCTTGATACTGTAGGCTGCATGCAGTACTGCCCCTCAACCAAGTTTGTAACCCTCTGTGTTTCCTGTATTAGTAATGAAGTAGGTGGAGGAGAAACCAAGTCATGTCCACATCCAAAAGCTTTTATGTAATATAAATGTTAGTTTAACCGTAGTCACCAAAAATTGGTGGAGAAAGATTGGATCTGACCGAGTCATGCTCAGTGTATTACCATGGATGAGTAATCTTTTCTAGCCATGGCAGGAGCTCTGACAGGTTTTAATGAGCATTAGAGTCAAGAACTTGGCCATGGGTCTGGCCTAGGGGTTTCTACGTTTGCTTTCCATGGGGAAAAACAGCCAGCCAGATTCAGATTTAAAACCCAAAAAGTGAATTTAAGATGGAAATCTGTTTTTCATTGGCAATCAAATGCAAATGGAAGCAACAACAGCTCTTGAACGGGAGATGGTTACTTCATTTTCCCATATGTACCTTTATGGGCTTTGGTACCAGGTACATATGCTAGTCAGCATGCTGGGAATCACAGCATTTCTTTTGAAGAAGCCTGTTCAGCCCAGGTCTTGCACTTCGCTACTAAAGCTTAATACATTGAAAGCTTGTTCTTGTCAAAAATAATACTAAGGTTTTTTCAAAGTGCTGTGCATTTTTTTAAAGTGCTCAGTTTGTAAAGGCTGATTCCAAGAAAAAGTGAGCATAAGTTAATTTCTCATAGAGGAGCATTGTTAAAGCCCTTTCAAAGGGTTAATGAAAGGCCCCTGATGAAGAAGGACTGGAGCAGCACAGCAGACATCCAGCGCTCTGCTTTTGCTAGCACAGTAGGCTAGCAAGGTTGTTTTTAGTTTTTGGCCTTGATCCAACACCATTGGTTAGGCAGCAAAGGCAAGTATTTTTAGAGACCAAGAAGCTGCCTGGTCCACAGATGATAATTCCCATGCATCCAGACAGACGTTTTACAGTGGTACCCAGGTGGCAAGGAAGCATCCCTGGCTGGCTGGTTTCTGCAGAGCTGCTAGGTCTGGGATTCCCAGGGATCAGAATCACAGAATCATACAATTCCAGGTTGGAAGGGACTTCAAGGAACATCTGGTCCAACCTTTCTAGGCAAAGCATGACACAGACCAGATGTTCCAGCACCCTGTCCAGCCAAATCCGAGAAGTGTCCAATGTTGGGGAATTCACCACTTCCCTGGGGAGACCACTCCGATGGCTGTGAAAAATTTTCCTCTTGCATTCAATTGGAATCTCCCCCAGAGTAACCTGTGCTCATCACCCCTGCGCTTTTCCATGTGACCCCTTGTAAAAAGGGAGTCTCCATCTTCTTTGTAGCCACCCTTTAAATACTGGCAAATGGTGATAAGGGCTGCCCTGAGCCTTCTGTTGTACAGGCTGAACAAACCCAGCTCTCTCAGCCTGGCCTCACACAGCTTCCCAGTCCTCTTGTCATCTTTGTGGCCTTTCTCTGGACCCTCTCCAGTCTGTCCACATCTTCTTATATGGTATAGTGGGGACCAAAACTCAACAGCATTCCAGGTGTGGCCTGACAAGCAATGAGCAGAATGGGATAATGACTTGTTAGGGGATACAAGAAATCCCCCTCCTCTTAATGATTTTGCTGGTGTGTCCTCTGACAGGTTTGGAGATTGCCAGTCTGATGCTAACTGTTCCAATTTGCTACACTGCAGGTGCCAAAATAATGACATACATCTGCTCTCATTTAACTTCTTCAGCTGGGTGAACCTGTTCAGCATCTCCCTGGCATTGGAGGCAAGCCAGTAATGTTCCTGGGGTCACATAGGGCTGCTGCTGTGCAAATGAAAGAAGTCCTTGGAATAAAGTGGTTCCTCAGCCATTCTCCTGGGGAGACATAAGTTTGGGAAATACTGCTCTGTTGAGGAGAATAGTCAGAAATGCAGCCAAAGCACATTAATAGTGACGCAGAGTACTGCTGAGGAGTCACTGCAGAAGTGTCTTTCCTCATTCTTTGGGGATACTAAGATGCAGCAGTGTTCTCCACAGGTAGTAATTCTGTGTTGCGTTCATGCCTCTGATTGCTTGTCATTTTAACAAGGTGGTGCTTATATACCAACATCAGATGTTAAAACCAAATGTCTGTGATAGCAAGTAAGGAATAGGAATATTTCACTTTCTGGTTATGGTAGTGGTGGAGGAAAGTAATTCCTTATGCTTGTGTTTTCATTTCTTTTTGTCGTCTGGATACATATGACTTGGAAATTCAGGGGCTCTATTGCCAGAAACAGTATTGACACAACAGGAAGAAACCCCAGCCTTGTGCGTGCAGTGGGATAGACCTTAAAGTATGCTGGTTTTAAAATGAGAGAGAGTGAAACAAGGGAGAAATACGTACTTACGTACACCTTGGACATAATGTTTTGCTCTGAGACACCAAGGCTCCTGTGAGAGCTCACCGTCTCATTGCTCCCCTTTTTCCTGGTTAGTGTACCATATGTATTCCTCCTGGAGGGACACAGACCTGCTTAAACAAGTCCCGAGGAGCCCACAGAGATGTTCTGAGGGCTGGAGCACCTCTGCTCTGCTCCCGGTGCCTAAAGGGACCGATAAGGGCCTGTAGGGACAGGACAAGGGGGAATGGCTTTAACCTGACAGAGGGGAGATTTAGATTAAATATCAGGAAGAAATTTCTTCATTATGAGAGTGCTGAGGCACTGGCACAGGGTGCCCAGAGAAGCTGTGGCTGCCCCATCCCTGGCAGTGTTCAAGGCCAGGTTGGACAGGGCTTGGAGCAACCTGGTCTAGTGGAAGGTGTCCCTGCCTATGGCAGGAGGTTGGAACTGGATGAGCTTTAAGGACCCTTCCAACCCAAACCAGTCTGGGATTCTGTGATCCATAGCTGGATGTCAGGGAAGGAAGACCTTGGATTTCCTCTTTTTTTAAAGAGCATGAGTGTGTCCTGAAATGAGAGAGAAAGGTGTGCTTGTTTCTTTTCCTCTTCACCTGATTCTAGCTAGAAATGTCACTCTGTCATAATGTCCTTAAGGTGCCCTTTTTGAGATGTAAGCAATCTGGGTGGCAAAGGATGGCGTTCCTCAGCAACGCTTGTTACCATAGCTAAAAGTGCTGCAGTTCACCTAAACCTTTTGAAGCGCCTATGTATTATTTAGATCCCCGTGCTTTCTAGATGAAGTAGTTCAGTGCCCCCTTCCCTCCTTGTCTTCTCCATTTCTTCCATCTGACTTGTTAGCGTGCAGATTACTGCCGGAGGAGAGAGGTGTGCTGAATTAGTGCTGCATTAACGGGCACGTTCGTTCTCAGCCTTGCATATTCACATAACCAGGGTAAGAAGCTGCTGAGATGCTTTTCTGTGCCATATGCGTAATCTTTCTCTCTCAATTGGTACCAACAAAAAGCCACTTGTTGGTAAGTATAGCAACAGCATCATCATATGAATGCCTAATTAATGATTCTTGGCTTCAGCTTTGGTAAGTGCAGTGTGAGAATTCAGCATTTGATATCATAGATAAGATGTGAGGCTGTTCTATAATGGTGTTGCACTGTACGAGTGTCATGCTCTGTCTGAATTCATGCATTCTCCCAGCCCTGCCCTTTACTGTAGGCCAGTATATATAGCTATATGTTCTTTATATGTTCTAGGGGCCTCATTTTGTCAGGCTTACCAAAGATCTAATGTTTTGCTGCTTCTCTTTCACAGAATCTGATATTGATGCTGCTACTGCAATGATGCTGTTAAATACTTCCATTCAACAAGGGATGTTGGACTGTAAGCATAAGCCATTTTACTTTGCTTTTCTTTTATACCCAGAAGCTAGATGTTGCAGGAAACAAGTATGGTCTATTCAAGAAGCAATTCTGGGTTGATTATTCTTTCTCTTATTAGCGTTTTACAGAACCACCTTCTCTTCCCCCCACATTTAATCTTGGGTGTTTTTTTTTCAGCAGAGTTCTTCCCTGCCCTCTTTGTGCTAGATGGGAAGCAGAGTTTCTTAGTTAACTTCTCTGTTTCTCCAGCTCTTAGCTGTGATTAGCTGAAGGCTGTTGTCCTTCATGGATAAATGCTCACATTGAGTTTACTTTGCAGCCAGCCAGAGTGTGCTCCTATCAGCCTACCAATGTCTGAAGGGCGCCTTCAAGGGTACTGGAGAGGGGCTCTTCATCAGGGACTGTAGCAACAGGACAAAGGGTAATGGGATCAAACTTAAACAGGGGAGATTTAGGTTAGATATAAGGCAGAAATTCTTCCCTGTGAGGGTGGTGAGGCTCTGGCACAGGGTGCCCAGAGAAGCTGTGGCTGCCCCATCCCTGGCAGTGTTCAAGGCCAGGTTGAAGGGGGCCTGGAGAAACCTGCTCTAGTGGAAGGTGTCCATGCCCGTGGCAGGGGGTTGGAACTGGATGAGCTTTAAGGTCCCTTCCAACCCAAACCATTCTGTGATTTTGCAGGTGATCTCAGTGGGGTATTTGCTTACTGACAAATCTTGTTTTTGACAGGTGAGAAGCCTCAGCCTCTGAAGACACCCAAGAAGAGGAGTTACGGCAGCGCGTTCAATCCTCCCAGTTCCATAAATTTGCAGGGAAATGATTCTGCAGCCACCAATATCGATCCGAAAGAGGATCACAACTACAGTGCCAGCAGCATGGGCTCCCAGCGCTGCGCATCTAGGTCCAGCGTGTCTTCCTTGTCCTCCCTTGATGAGGTGTATGAATTTATCTCCGAGACCAGCCACGATGGAAGTGATGGCAGCGAAGGGTTTCACAGCGAAGTGGATACAGACGTTGACTATGAAGATGATCCTCTTGGAGACAGCGGCTATGCATCCCAACCTTGTGTAGATACCTCTGAGGAAAGTCAGCCTAGCAACAAAGCACTCGAGGAGTTGTGTCAAGAAATTGATGAAGAGTTGAAAGAAGCAGCAGGGTCTCTGCTCCACCTTGCTGGCATCCAAACATGCTTGAGTTCCTTAATAAGTACTGCAAAGACCCACTGTCACAAGCAAAGGAAGAAATAGTATGTTTGTCAGTGTTGAATATATACATATATTTTTTTTAATTGTGGCAATACTCTTCTACTTTTACCCTTCACAAGGGAGATCAAAGCCATAAGAGGACTCATTGCTTTTTTAATTTTGGCGCTAACTATAATTTAGCCATTTATTTTTAAATCACTGCCTAAAAAGAAAAGTTATTTAATCTTCTCCAAGTAGAAGAGGTGCATGACTTATGAAAACCTGAAAGCATACTTCTTAAGGATCGCTTTTAGTTGGTTTTACTTTCTTTTCCCCAGAGATACGTTTGTTCAGATGCACATTGTGGATCATATTTACAGCTCCGTTGGCCTCATCCACAGAGGGGAGTTTTGCCCTGTCTAAGGGCTCTGACTTCCACATAAAGGATTAAAAAGGAGGAGAAAAAAGAAAGGGGTTTAAATTAATAAGGGGTCCTGGCTTTGGTTGCCCATCCTGTCTTCTCTCTTCTGAGACAGGTCCTGGTTGGAAGGCTGGTGAAGCGAATCCAAATGGCTGCAATTTTCAGCCCATCTGACACTGAGAGCACTCCAGGAGCTGCTCTCAGCAGGAGGCAAAGTACCCCCTGGAAGAGTGTGAGTAAGGGGTAGTGAGGTGGGTACCACCCACAGTTTTCTTCTTTGTCCTCCTTCCCCCAGATCTGCTGTGTTCAGGTCAGATTCCTGAAAGAAAACAGGTTGGGGTTTGTTTGGTTTTTCCATCTTAAGACAAATTGCCTTTTTGAGGGGGTTGCATGTGTCCTTTTCATGCAGATGCATGCACACCTATGTGCACCTTGGATGTAGCCAACAGTGAAAGCCAAGGTTGATGTTGTCCTTGTGTTACCACCGCTGTTGGTAACTATGTAGTAGCGGTGTAGTCCAGCAACACCTACCCTTCTGCTCCCCTATATAGATTCATGGGGTGGAGGGGAGAAGGACCCCACAGTTGGTGGTGACAATGTGGACAAGGTGTGGGCTTTAGGTGGCTAAGAGGTGAACAGCTGCTTAAAAGGGCACATTTTACCCCTTAACTGAGACAAAATAGAACTTCCTTTTGGATCAGTGAACCATGAATTACTTTTGGGGGTTTTTGCCCTTTCCTCCCTCCTCCATTCTTGTTGTTTCTGTCACATGGGCTGTCCATACCTTTTGTTCCCTGATCACTGTGCCTTGTGCTGTGTGAACCCCATCAGCCTCCTGCCACGTACGGGCATCTAATAGGCAAGGTTTCATCCTTTGGATGTGCTTTGTCGCTCAGGAGGACCTCTCTGTTTTGGGAAGAAATTCCTTCACAATTCATTTTTGCAATAAGAGAATCTCTTTAGAGTTCCCAGGCATCCTTCAGCCAAAAATGTTTTAGTTGTCTGGTGGACTTTGTTCCTCTTTTTCCAATGTTTAGTTTTCTTTGAAGATCAGTGGTGACTGCGTACAGCTTCCTGTAGATGAGGACTTTCTTCTTTCAATTTTCTGTTCAAAATGGGGAAGCAGTTCTGTTGGAGTGGGTTTTAACAGTACTGTGCGTATCAGGATGCCTTAAGTACGTTGCAGAATTGTATACAGCTATCGAGGTCATCTTTCCTGTTCCTGAAAGATAGCATGATGTGCCATCAGTGTTCTTGCTAACATGTGAAAGTACTGCTTGAGCAGGTGTTGGGTAAACTGACTGAAAATTAGGAGCAGAGCCACCTAGGAAACCAGTGTTCCACTGTTTTGGTTGTTGAAAACGGTGCTGGATTCAGCCAACAGCTACCCTTTCCCTAACAGGGTATTTTTCTGGCTATTTGGAGGCCTTTCTTAGACCAGTGTGGTTCTTTTGTGTGTTGGGTTTTGGGTTTTTTCGCCTTATTTGTTAGTCTCTTCATGAATACTGCCATAAACTGTGTACTTTAAACATTAACACAGCCATGCTGCTGAAGATCTGTTGCTCTGAGGGCCTTCCAGGGCCTCTTGAAGACAACAGTGGTGCTCCTACTGACTCAGTGGCTGTTGGATTAAGCCTGAAATATTTGAGGTTCTTTGTGTTTTGGAATTTAAAGCCAATGTTATTTTTCCTTTTGAAAGCACAAACACTAGGAAAAAAGAAGTGTTGTTTTGGGTTGTTTTTTTTTTTCCCCAAATACTTCAGTCTTAAGAATGATCTCTTGAAAGGGAAGAAAAATACTCTGCTGCATTCCTCTTTGTGTGAACACCCGTTAGCCTGCAGCTGTGACAGGGCAACATGTGTGCAGATGTGTATGTCTTCTGGATATCACAAGTGGTGCATTAGCCAATTAGATCTGATACTGGATGTGTTACTGATGGATAGTAGGAGGAAAACTCGCTATTTAAAGGTAAACTAAGTCCCAGTGCAGTCGTTCTTAGGATTTTGAGATGTGAAGATAACGAATGCTTGCTGGAATTGCTTTCTTTGCTCATGGATTGCTTTTGTACTTGGATGGAAAACTGCAAAGGGCAGAGTTTGTGTCTATGTGAAAATAAGGGTCCAGCTATACAGAAATACTGTTAGCAGACTGGGATTTTCCTTGGTGCCATGATTTCACTAGTATGCTGTTGAAGGGGGGTGCTGCCTGGCTCCCACTGAAGGTGGTCACAGCTTTTCTGTAGGTTCCAGTGAAAGGTGGATCAAGGTCCCAGGTACTCTGGAAGTGGTCACGGTCTGCTCTGTGGTTTGGTTCTGAATTGCTTTTTTTGCCTCAGACAAAACTTGAGAAGGCTAATACTAAGAGTGTGGCTGTGCTGGTGTTAACCCTGACGTTGGTGATAATAACTTCAGTGTTTCTGAAGGGATGGGGTTGGGTGCTAACAATGCATTTAATTACCATATGCAACGAGCAATAAAACTGTACTGATCTGAAGTTAGCAATGAAAGCTGCCTCTGTCCTTACAGCTTTCAGCCTGGGAGAACTGGAATTGTGGAAGGGGGGAAGCAGTCGCAAGCCCTTCCCTGGGGCACAGTGGTGCGGCAGGGCTGCACTCTTCAGGCTTTGCTATCTTCCCTTTCTCCTCCTGAAGGAGAAGGGAGCCAGTAAGTGCCCCCGACCTTGTTCCACACCTCTGCCTGCACGTTTTGGCAGGCAAAGGCCACCTGCTTAGTTGTGGAGCATCCCTCTTGGTAGTGGGAGAATAGCTACCCTTCCTTTTGCTTCCATACCTAGCATTGGGTTTGGGTTTGTTTGCCACCTCAGTTACAGACCCTGGTGTATATAGTATAAATGGAGTATAATTTAAAGTTATTTTGATTGTTGGGTTTGGGTTTTTCTTTTTAGTGACATATGTAAAGTGTTCATGCCAATGGTTGACTCTGATATATTTTGGCAAGCAAAGTATTAACGAACCCCGTTCAATTCTTTAAATGCAGTGAAGAAGTGTATGAGACTCACGTACAAGGGAGGCTGCTCTGTTGAGGATGAATCTGATGTGAATACAATATAAACCTGTATCTGCCTTTCAGATTCCCATGCTAAATTACTGCTTTTGCAAAAGTCACATCAAACATTTTGAAATGCAACTGTAAAATGGAAGTTGTACGGTTTGCAACTTTTCATCAGCCTGAAAAGTAAGTACAAGCTCCGGTGAAAGCAAAGTACACTCATCCACGTTAATAATGGTGTAGTCAAAATATTTATTGAAAAGAAAAGGTAGAGTATTTTAAATGTTGCACCTGCCACTATATCTTAAAGCACATTCTTCACACCTAACTGCCAGTGCCATTATCAAGTCTTGTTTTATAAATGTACATTTCCTCAAACTAAAAAGTGCATAATTATAAGGATTATGTTACTGCCATATAGTGATACAAAACATTTTATAATTGCCAAGTCATTGTAACTATTATTTATTTGAGAGTGAATTGTAAGAATGCTTTCTGATCAAAAGAACCAGAGTTGTTTTTAAACTGTTCCTGTTAGCTTGTTTCTAATGTAGCATAAGCAATGTCCTTGGGTTTGTTTAGAATAAATTTGCCAGTATGTGACCAATTCTAACCCTTTTTCCTCCGGTTTAGTCCTTTACCCGTTTTAAAGACAATTTACAGAAGTTTAGTTTTTTGTATGCTAATCTCTGTTAATTAAAATGTTTATAAATTTTATTTTTACCAAAGAGATGCAATTCATTATGACAAAATATTGCAGAATAAACTTTGTTTTATAACATTTGTGACTTTTTCTGCCCACATTTTTCATTCTGATGATCAAAGGGGCTTTTCTAAAATAAACAGCATTGCAAACAGAAAGCGCTGTGTGCTCTCTTTATCTACAGACCCTTGTTCCAAGGGCCCCATCTTCCCATTTAAACCTCATCCATGTAGCTAGTGTAAAAAGCTAAATGTGCAATTCATTGTCGGTTAGTTAAGACAGTCACATGCATGTGGAAGTCATCTGTTAAATACCTTCTCAGTCCACAGCAGGATTTGCTGTGGTTCGTCCAGGTAATATTTGAAGAGTGTCTTATTCAGGCTAAGATTTTACCCTTTAACCTGGAACTCAAGGAGCTAATAGAAGGGCAGCAGAGCTTAAAGCCCCGTCCAGCCTGGCCTTGAACACTTGCACAGTGGGGCAGCTAATGGAAGGATGCATGGTGTCTTCCCTTTACTCCTTTTACTTTCATTAAGGAAACAAACATAAACTATCCATTTATATAGAAGACCTTCCACTGCCCGAGAGGCAGAAGTACAAGAGGGGGACACATAATGGGACATGATGCTTCTCTCTTTTAAAAGCAGACATTGGTATACCTCTTCCATTTTTATTTTTTTAACCTAGTTGTATCACTGAGTTAAGTTTCCTCTGCAGGATCTGATGGAAATGCATCTGTTCCTTCTGCAATACTTGAAGGGATCCGGTAGATTCTTAACAAAGACTGTCCTTCATCACCATATAAAAAGCAATTTAAATCACAAATTACAGAATATATATGCACTATTAATATCTTTGATTTAGTGTTCATCTTAATATACTGATAAAAGAACAACTGCTCTAATTAGTTTGGACAAAATCACAGCTATGTATCATATGTTAATGATGTCTAATTGTTATTCACTATATTATGCTAAGACAGCCTGGAGTTCATTGCTAAATTTCCCAAGAGTGTTTTCCTCTGTTACAACTTTGCTGGAAATTACCCTCTGTATGGAGCCACAGCTCTCAGAATAAAGCATTAACTGAGGTAATTACCCACTTATACCAGCTGTATTTTAAGGACGTTTGTGGAGGAAATACTTAATAGATAATTTAGAAACAATGGCTGTCTAAATGTGACACAGAACATGGTTATACTTTCACAGTTCTTGAGCTTCCAGATACCTGTAAGTGTTCTTAGTTTGAATAGTCTTGAGTAAATACACGTAGCTGTGAACATCTGCTGTGCTTAGAGGTAATCATGTGTGAATATCAGTCCAGCAGTGTTATTGTCAACTTTCCCAGCTTAACTTGGACATAGAAACTCTCTTCCCTGTTTTTTACCCACGAGGGTTGTCTTTGCACCTGACATGTCAAAGCCCTATCACCTCTGCTCCAATCTTCAGTCTTCAGATCAGCTGCGTGTTCTTGGTTTCCCTTTTCTTCCAGAAGGCTCTGCTGAAAGGTACCTGCTCTTACAGTTACAAACTATTTATAGCTAACCCAAGATTATTAACTGCCCTCTGCCAGTGTTGGTTTAACCAGCTCTCCGTTAAACATCAGACTGTTTGTTTTCCTATGGCATCAGTACAAAAGCAATTGTTTCCCTTCTTAGACCCTTGACTTATTAAACAAACCAAGATTATTTGGTTTCTGTTTGGAAGACAAGATCTTCATTCCTCTGTGCATCAATTCTCATTTTAATTCACCCTGCTGGCACATGCATGAGAAGAGCTATAGACACTCTGGTGTGTCTATAGAGTGCTGGTGCTTTTTGTAACCTGGTCTTAGTATTCCATGGCTTGCAGCACTACTCTGGCCTGCTATGTCCATGGCCTTTACCTGATCACACAGAGTTGACTAATCCTGTTATCAACTAATATGTCCATGTCTTTGTTCTCCTCTATTGGTGAGGCTGCAGCTGGCAGAAAAAGTTGGTGGTTCGTGACCTGGAACTTGACTTAATGAGATTTGTCTTGATCCTGATTCTTTGTGATCTCTCCTGGTGACCCTCCTGCTCACCAGGAACTCCTTTTTTGGCACAGCCCATCCAACTAAAGGAAGAAGGACAAGATTTGTCAACCATGATATGTATTTCATCAATGCATGTTGTCATTCAGCTCATTTTGCAGTCATCTACAGGGTGGTTTGGGGTTTTTTTGCTTGTTACAGTGGGGACAGATCAAAGGTGTCTGCCTCATGTCTTGGTGGGAGATGCTACATTTGCCATTGTCAAACCTCATTTGACTCATCAGAATGACCACCCTCAAACACTTACTTGTCTGTGCTTTTTCAGTGTTCAGAGAAGGACATCCAGTTTCTTAAAACAAGGTACGTGTACTGAGCATTATTTTTATGCTGGTTGCCATAATCTCTGTTTCCACGGTATCTTGACTTTCCAAGCCCTAATAAGCAACATACAGGATTGGACTGAATACCTAATTTCTGTATCTGTTTCAAAGACACTGCTAGCAGTTAAGCACTTGGGTATTTTCATGTCTAGAAATGCAGGTTGGTCCCTACCAGACCAACCTCGGAACCACTTGATGCGTTTATGTGCTTTGCTGTTGGGCAGATGTTCAGAAAAATCCCTGTAGATGCCTGTATCAACCTTTACACAGCATCACTTTTAAAAATAGACTTTGTGACTCGAAGGCTTTTTTTGATTTCATTAGCTTGGTATCTTGGTTTTCCCAGTTGTTTTAGATGCTAAAATAAACTCAGCAAACTACATTTTCAGTTATTTTCAGTAAGGGTACATTTTATTCTCTCTCATAAGCATGTTTTCTGAGCTGCTGGTGGCAGTTTCCATGCTCTGAATGCATAGTCAGACCTCCACAAATTACAGGCATTTTGATGTGTCTTTTGGCTCTGAGTAATTTGAAAATATTAAACCTCCACCTGTTGAGTTCTGATGATGGTGTGCTGGGCAAAATGACCTGCTGTTTCATGCAGCCTGCGAGCCCTTCCGTGGGGCAGGTGAGGTGCAGATAGGGCTCAGTCATTTCAACAGAAAAGATGGTCTCCTTAAATCTCCAAGTGGGTACACAATTCTGGGCATTAACTTGAGTGTGAGCATGTTCAATGCTACCTTAAAAAATGATGCTGCTGTGCTGCATGATGTCACCTTGACCCAATCATAACCCATTTTCTGTGAGCATAATCTTAACTCCCCAGAGAAGCATCCGCTGAGCGACAGCAGCATCCCATGCAGCCGTTGCTAAGCGACAAGATTCAGCTTTCAGCAGGATCTAATTTTAAAGTATTTAACCCTAGATCTGTCAAGGCTCATTATTTTCGATGTGGTTGTTAATCCCTCCTTGTTGGTGTCCAACTTCACAAATACCCTGCTCCTGGTAGTGTTGCTGGTTTATTTATCATAGATAGTGGCTTATAACGAGGAGAAGCATCTTGCCTCCTGGTGAGCACCCCAGGTAGACCTTGATACCAGATTTCATTTCACTGACAACCTACACACAGAAATATGGGATGCAATTAGAGGTGGAAAATAGTGCATTGTCACTTGGTGAATCTTCCTTTCTTTGCTGGCTCACACAATTGTCGTGCACCTACTTTCTTTCTAAGGAATGCTGGTTTTCAAATGAATGAATGCTTACGGATGGGCAGCTGGCAATCACAATTAAGCTTCAATTTTTAGTGATGTTATGTGTCCTCTTACTTCTAGCTGAATTTCATCTAGGTTAAGAAGCAAGTCATCTTACCTAAAACCATTCAAAAAACCTGCTGTCATTTTGAAATGTAAAGGGGTTTTAATACTGGAAAATTTTAAGTCTTTTAAATCATTACATAGGATATTCATCAACCATAAGGAAGTTGTTGGGTTGTTTTTTTTGTTGTTTTCTTGGTTTGTTTTGTTGTTGTTGCTTTTTGCTTGTTTGTTTTAATTGTAAATAGTTTTCTTCATTTTATTTCTGTCTAAAGTGCAGAGGCCTGGAGGCCTACTCCCATCTTTTAAGTATAATGCCTTCATTATTTCCTACACATGTCCTTGTAAGTGCATTGTAAGCGCACTCAAGTTCAGTGCTAGCTCCTTAAAGGTATGTGGTATGTGCTGTTTCACACAGCTGAAATAAAGCTGCTCTTACTGGTCAGGATCATAAGCAGAAGAAAAACAAACCCACTGAGAACTGCACAACCCCCTAAACCGTAGGTAAAAATAAAACACAAAACAACCCACAAAAACCCAAAACCTACACAGAAAAAATTAGGTTATCATAGATTTTTAAAAATGCTAATATAGTTCATCCCGGCCTCGTAATCCCGCCTAAGACTCTTCCTCCTCCCATTGTTAGGATTTAAAATGGACACTGCGTTGCTCCTCATGCTGTTTCTTTTTGGCAGTTCATGCTCATCTGCAAAGACAAACCTGTCTCCGCCAAGGCACTTTTTCCCAGCAGTCAGCTTGATGGTAATACTCTCCTGCTGCATTTCCATCCTCCTGAGGCATCGCCTCTTCCAGTGCTCCAAGTTCAAGGGCTTGCGATGAACAAATACCTGTATATCACTTTCTCTTTCCACACAGTATGTTGTGCCCTGTGCCCGTGCTCTGCCAATGAGGAACCCTGCCCCACGTCTCCTCCATCCTGCTTCTTCTTCCACAACATTCTTTGCACACCAAAGACCTGGCTTCAGTTCATTCCAAAAGCCCAGATGACTTCTGGAGGTGCCACAATCTTTCTAAAAATAACAATGCTCATGAACGGGAATAGTTCTGATTAAAATGTTTCCTAAACTGCTGGAAAATCTTCCAGGTCCCTTTTCTTTCTCTGCTCATGTGTCTGTCTCTGGAGAGTTGAGAAAATGAAGACAAACCCAAGCCATATTTGCTGCAGGTAACAGCTCCTCACATGGGTGAGTTGGGACTTCCGTCAAAGGCTGTGTCCACACCTGGTGTACGTGAAAGAGCATTCACTTCTCACTGTATGATCTTCATAACACCCCTTCTCGATTCAGTCTTTTATCTTTCTCTATGCAACCAGACAATATGTCTCTAGGGATTTAATGTACATTGTTTGTCTTTTTCCTTCTCCAGCAAAGACTAGAACCTGAGTGCAGGCAGTCTTAGCTGGGCCAATGTTTCTCAGCAATGGCCCCT